AGGTAAAGGTTTGATTCTCTGACTGTTGCATTTAATAACATTGACATTTTAAGGGCCAGGGAGAGGGTGGGGGGCTTGAGTGGGTGACTCAGTTCTTGGGTTTCCTGCTGCCATTGTGGGGTTCTGGGCTATTTTCTGCAAGGCTGCATGAATACAAGCCTTCCCCTGAGATGATGTCAGAAACTTAAAGTAACAAGAAATAAAGCTTTTATAGGCAAAGGGGTGGAGGTGGAAAAAAATCCTATCTCTTGGACCCACGATGGCCACCCATTTCCGAATTGGTTAGGGAGGACTTTTCCTGGGACACTTGTTTTCCTCATATGTGTGTTGCTCTCTGGGTTCTTTGGAACATAGGGAGACCAGACCCTAGTTTCTGGCCACTGGACTTTAAATCTAGGCAAGTCAGATACAATTAAGACATCAGAGGGCCTGGTAGATAATAAATAGTGTGAAGACTGTGACCAAGAGACTGTGCAGTTTTACTTGACAAAGTTACACAGGTACTAAGAACGGTACTTAGACCAAGATGAAGTGTCTGCAGCTGATGGGAACCATGCTCACTGAATTGCGTTGATGATCCCTTTCCGTGTCAGCGGCTGACCTTCTGAGCATCTCAGTCAAGTATTTAACTTCCCTGAGTTTCCACTATCTAGTTTCCCGAAGGAGACAATGCAGTGTGTCTCAGAAAAAATGTTTCAGTATTCTCTTAGGAGAATGTAAGCATTATTACAAGGATTGTTCCTGGTGTGGATGGTGATAGTGATGACGTGTTGATTCAGGACTAAAGAACATCCTACCCAGTGGCTATTCATTTGAAGGAGGAAAAAAATCCATCCCAGACCACTCCACTGCCCCATTGACCTTGGGTCATTTATCTCTGGACTCTCCCTTTGCCCTCCTTCCCCCAAATTCTGTAACCAGCAGGGGCCCGGTCTCCCTGTCTTTGAGAAAGAGGAGTGGACGGAGAGGGTGAAATTCCACAGTTCTGAGGTTAGAACCCCGGTAGGCCCCTTGAAGAACTCTCCGTCTATAAGATTAGTTGAGAAGGAGATGTGACAGATTGTTAGTAGCAGGGCTTCTTTTCTGATTTTGTTTTGTTTTGTTTTTGGTCTTGCCGCTTGGCTTGTGGGATCTTAGTTCCCCTACTGGGGATTGAACCTGAGCCCCTTCCAGTGGAAGCTCGGAGTCCTAACCACTGGACGCCCTGGGGGAATTCCCAGTACCAGGGCTTCTTAATAGACTTTTGAAATGAAAAAAAAAATGTTTACATATTTGTTGTTTTTAGGAGAGAATTTATATACTTTAACATATCATTTCACAAATTCTGAGAATAAACCTGTTTTCCTGTATTCAGTCTAAATACGAATGGGTCATTGGTGGAACAGAAGTGTCAGGGAGAAAAACCTTTTTCTCTATCCTGTTTAGTGTTTTTCTTGGGGGCCTGCAAATTAAATCGACAAAAGACAAGTTAGCAAGAGAAGAAAACATTTAATTACCTACTTAGGCAGGGGAGTTCACGAGGAAATGTGACTCAAGGAGGTGGTTAGATTTTAGGGCTTCTATACCATAATCATAGGGGATGGGGAGGGGCAAAGGGGCACTTCTGGGAGAACAGATGACTTTTTTGTAAGATAAATGCACTCATAGGAGAAGAGATAGGAAATATGGTAGTTTTGTGACACTGTCTGTTTGGGTGAGGTGCTTCTGTCTCTAGAATAGATTCGAGTTGCTCTCTGGAAAGGGATTTATGACAAACAAGTTCTTCGGGAAGGCAATGCTTTTAGGCAGATAAGGGGTTTCAAGAAGGCAAATGTCTTCAGCTCAAAATAATTCTTATGCCAAAGTGGCATATTTTCAGGTGGCAGGTCCTGTTCCCCTTCATTTATGTCCCGAATTCTAATACTACAAATTCTCTGTTCAAGACTCTTCAACAGGGCTTCCCTGGTGGCGCAGTGGTTGAGAGTCCGCCTGCCGATGCAGGGGACACGGGTTCGTGCCCTGGTCCGGGAAGATCCCACATGCCGCTGAGCGGCTGGGCCCGTGAGCCATGGCCGCTGAGCCTGCGCGTCCGGGAGAGGCCACAACAGTGAGAGGCCCGCGTACCGCAAAAAAAAAAACAAACAAAAAAACCACTCTTCAACAGCTTCTCATTTAACTTAGCATAAAACCCGAGTCTTTACCACGGCCCCCCTCCTCCACCCTCACCCCCACCTAATGCTGCTCTTCAAAAGGGATGGAGTGGGGAGCGGGTCTTGATTCCAGACCACATCAGTCCTCTTGCCACTGGGACAGCTCCTCCCCAGGGCTTCCCGGACCTCCAGGGAAGGCGAGGCCTGGAGGATCCCATTCTTGTCTTTCCACTTTCTTCTTAGCACCTCTCACATCTGATGTATATTTACCTATTTAGTTCATGGGAAGGCAAGGTCCCTGAGAAAAAGGGCTTTGTTTTGTTCACTTCTGTGCCCACACTGCCCCGCCCCCCTGGCACATAGTAGGCCCTCAAAAAATTGTGAGCAGGGCAGACTCTACTGCTGTCCCTCAATAGCTTACTGTTTAGAGGGAGACTCAATAGGAAAAGGGTACCTAATCTCTGGTGCAGTGCGTGCCAGGGGGGGCAGCAGCTCTGGAGCAGGTGCCTGGCTTGCCCAGCACGAGGCTTCATGAGATTGCAGTGAGGGGTGGGGGGGGGCTGAGTAGAAGGAACATATCTTCGTTCTTCCCACCTCTCCAGGTTTCTAGAATTAGGCTGAGTGGAGGCACTGCAATACTGTTCCCTATGCAAGACCACTTGTTATGAATCTTTTGTCTGCTTTGATTTAATTCCCGGAAGATTCAAGTATCATTTTGTCAGTGTAAAAAAGAAGTTCTTGTTTGTGTGCTATTTGTATGAACTCCCGGGGTGGTTTATATGAATGAGGATGAAGATGTTATCAGTCGGGGGTGTGGTGGATTGTAACCACCTGCACTGACATCTCTCTTCTTTCTAGGTAGCATTCTTTCTCCTTCAGCAAACTCCTCTGTTACTCCATGGGGTGCACAAGCTAATAAATTATTCTTAAGCCAGCCTCAATTGGGAATCTGTCCCTTGCAAATGACAGACTAGTACAGGGACTATATTATGTTGACAGTGGGTTCATAAATGGATTGAATGAAGATAGCTCCTTCTGACATTTGTCTGTTCTCCTTAATATTTAGTATGACATTTAACACAGAGTAGGTGCTCAAAAAATTAGATGACTTGATATCCTTAACACACAAACACATACACAAAGAGAATAGAAAAGTATATTTTGACCAAAGCTGCAATCTTGGATGAGTACTGATTAGGAGTGTTTTGTTTTCTAGTGTGGTATTACTATCAAAATTCAGTGATGGCAGAATATGTACTCCTAGAAGAATCGTTTCTCATTTTATATTGGCTAAGACTATCTTTCATTTGCTTGCAAATAACCATCTTACAAAAAAGACCAGAAGATATAACCTCAAAATGAAATCCCAGAGGGGAAGAGATGCAGTTTGATGGGTATAATAATAACAGTAACAAGAATTACAGCACAACATTGACAACGTAAAGGGGTTTAAATGCTTTACATAATCCTTTCACTGAGTCTTCACAGTTATCTGTCCTGTAGAAATTCTCATTCCCATTTTACCGAAGAGGAAACAGAGTCTTATAGAGATTGATTTAAATGAAAATTGGAGCTAGAGCCTAGAGAATAGGCTGGAATTCCTGCTGGGCTCCCTCGGGAGTTGTCCCTATTGCTGGAGGAAGATCACTGACCTCTCAGGGCCTTCTCTGAAGATTTGAGATTGTTTTGCCATCTCAAAGGCTTAAGGAGATTTATCATTGTTTTTAAACTTTCTAATACGCTCTAGGTACCCGTGCAAAAAGTTTGGAGGCCCTGATGCTTTCCAACCCCAAATGGCAGGAACAGCTCTCCAAACCCGAATCCAAAACACTTTACATGTAGGGTGACTTGTGTTACAGGGCAAATGCCCTGATAAATGAGATTCATCAGAAAATTCATCAAGTTTCCTTTTCTCCAGCTTCTAACTTCAAAGGCCCTCATAGAAATGAATCCGTAAATGCCATGTAGACTTTCAATAACATTCTGCCACCAGAAATTGCCCAGTGAGATGTGACCGTCCTCGGACACTTCTTGCACCTTCCTGATTTCTCCAAGTACTTCTTTTTCTAAAATTGGCTCACTTACTTTCCTTCCAGACCAAGCTGGGGGGTCGACGGTGGGGAGGACTTATATTATCGGAAATCCCGAATCAAGCACCAGGATAGACAAATTTCACTTTTCTTTCCCTCAACTTTGAAATCATCTCTCGTCGGTGTATCCGGCTGTGATAAGCCAGCCTGATTTGGTGGTGGATTGGTATTGGGATGAGCCAGGTTAACTTAATCTCCTTTTAAGTAACCGAGAGTTTTGGGAATATTGACTGTGAACATTCAGACAGTGTTATTGTAAAGACACTTTCTCCATGTCCTGCTAGGAAACACGGAGCCCTCGCCTTCCGAGGTGGAGTTAGGAAGATTACGGGCGGACCCATATGCACGGTTATGATCAAGGATTCGAGTGTATTGGCCCGTCTACCGCACCAAAGAAATCCGGATTCTTAACACAACTGGGGTTTTCCGGGTGCGCCGAATGTGTGGGAGACTTGGGTGTCAGGCACCGTTAATGGGCCATGACCGATGGGAACATTTCTGCCTCTTTCATCTTCACGCTGAAGGTCCCCCCCCCCACCCCGCCCCAATGAAAATGTGCTAGGAGGAAAAGGAGTTGGGATAATAATTTCCTTTCTTTTCCTCCTGTTGGCTTCTGCTGGCAAATTGTCCTTTAATAAAAAGCACGATGGGCAAGTGTGAGAGCGTCTAGCTTGAAGCTGGAGACAAAACCCCACCGGGGAATGCCAGACCGTCCACCGGGGGAAACTGAACACCGACTACCTTCCCCACCCAAGGCAGCCTCCTGCCCACCGCTACTCACCGGCTGCACTGGCTCTTCGAAACCTCGAAGCTGAAGATTTTCAAAGAAGGAGGGTGAGTTGCTGCAGCTGCTGCATCAAACAAAAGCAAACAGATTAAATTAATTTAGGCTTCAAAATCAGTCCCATTCTCTAATTCATAAAATACTTCAAACACGGAGAGAAATGTCATCTCCCAGATGATTGAGGCTAATCCACTTTATCTCTTTTTTTCTCTCGCATTTGAATGCAAACCATCAAGACATACCTCGCCAGTCAAAATAAACTCATTCCAAACGCTTCCGTCAGCTTTTAATAAGTCTTCTCGGCTCCGTACACAAAACAAACTCCTGTTTCCACCGAGCTCAACGGGCTGTGTGCAAAAAAAAGAGGGACAGTGTACTCATTACAGTCTGTTAAATTGCCAACACTCGGCAATTAAAAGGTATGGCCCCGTGGAAACACTGCAAAACAGCAGTTAGTCTCATTGTCTTCTCATTAACAAGATTGTTATTTTAGCTCTCCAGGTACCAGGCTTCAGAAACAAAACATTCTTGGCTCCTGGGGAACTCCAGGAAAACAGGGAGTTGTTGACAGCTAGGACTTGTGGAAAGGACCGTTTATACTATAAATAAATTTGCACATCCTTGTGGTTGCAATAAATACACTTCCACACCCATTCTATTGGACTAGATGCAGAAACCTTTTACAGGGAAGTCAAAAAGTCTTGCCCACAGCAAACAACACTTGTCCTACTTATGAGGTCAAAGCGGGTGCTGCTGAGTAATGAATGCCTCCCCTCGGGACACAGAAATTTGGATTTTTTCCCTGCAAACAGGCTCTGTGGTCGACGCCACAGGCGCAGGGCTGGAAGGGATCGTGGAGGCTGTTATTTGTGCTGGGCCTGAGCTCCTCACTGCTTGGCAATCATTTAAAAAATGATGACCCAAATCTTTGCCATTCGCCAAGTGTGAGTACTTTGTGGTGAAGAGGAATGCAGCTCTTTGATTCCTGCATTCCTCCCCGTTTCCCTGTGTGGGTGGAAAAAAAGGCCAAGAATGTGAGTGATACAAAATCTCTTATGTTCTAAAGAAACCAAAGGAAGCAATGTATCTTTCCGATTCTGCCAAGATACAATTTTAAGTTTGATGCCCATGTGATTTTTCTTTCATATGATTGAGACCTTCATGGTTTTCCTTATGACATCAACAGAAAATGTAGAACACTGATTTTCTTTTTAAGTGAATGGGGTGGGGGGAAAGTCCCTTTTAAGAGACTAGGCACAAGGGATGTTTTCCTAATTATAAAGACAGTATTTACTGTAAGATTAAAAGTATAACTGCAGTTGCTTAAGACTTGAACAGTTTTCAGGGAAAAAGCCCCTAAAGTTACTTTCTCAGTAAATTTCTCAGGGGCCTATTGTTTATTTTACCCCAGCCATAAATTTCCTCTTAAATGCAGTCTTTTGCACTGACATTAGGTGGTGAGAGACCAAGATCATCTTGCAGTTTTAATGATATGCTGGTTTACACTTTAATGGCCAACTTCCATTTTTCAGGATTTTGCTAGATAAGACCCGTACAATGCTTTGTTAAGTAAACTTGATCTTAGGAAACGTGTACATTTCATACAAAATAAACACATGCCCTGAAATTGGTTGTTTTTGATGAAAGGCCCTCCCTAGAAATATCCTGTGTGGAGAGAAAAATAAAACCACTTTCAGCTAGAGAGAACCAAACACCAAATACCTTGAAAATCTGATGTTTTGCTCCTTATTAAGTCAGATTTAAGAGCATTACTAAGTTATACAGCCTGACTGATATTTTCATTTTTTGGAAGAGGGACAAGTCTGGGCATTAAATGCGTAACAGCAATTATTATCTGCGTGTGGGTTTAATTAGGAAAGAAGTCAGGTTTTTATTTTTCATAATTGTCATCGTCATGACCCAGTCTCCATGTCAAGCTTGGCGCTGAGCGGAAAGGCTCACAGGACCTCCAGCCCTCCCAGGTTTCTTGCCTCAGCGCACTCCCTTCTCCTTGCCCAGTATTTCTTCTTTTAGCTTCTAGTGGGACCTTCTGAAAACTGATTATTTGGAGGAACTTAGTAAGGCTCTTAGGGAGAAGAACAACTTTAATGAGTTCTAGGAGATAGGAATCCTCAAGACCCAGGACTGAAATCCAGTCTGGGGAAATGTGATGATTCCTTTTGCTCTGACTACAGCTCCGTGCATCAGGGTAGAATATCTATGCAAACACCAGGGAGGGTTGTTCCAATTTCCTGTAGTCTCGTGTGTGTGTGTGTGTGTGTGTGTGTGTGTGTGTGTGTGTGTGTGTG